CACGAACTAGCGAAGAGGAACTGGGGATGAGGCGATTCAGGCGAAGAGGAAGAATGGAAGATGCGAACTTGCGAAGAGGAAGAGGCGAACTGGAGTGGAGAACTGGAGTTGGAGATGATTGATGAAGGATTGAAGGGAAGAGGCGAATTGGCGAAGAGGAGAACTGAAGAAGGCTAGGGCTTGAAGTCTTGAACTGAATTCGTGATTTGGTCATTTGGGGAAAACTGATTTTAGTTTTTTTTTTTTTTTTTTTTTAAAAAAAAATAACTTAAAATTTTTTTTTGGGCCTGGTGAGTCACTTGACCCACCAGATCTAAGCCCAAGTCCGCCACTGCGTAGTAGTAGCTAGAAGCCTAGAATAGCATGCATGAATAATGTTTTACTACTCCGTACCATGCATGGGCAGTGATGGAATTAAAACTGTGTTTGGGAAAGTGTGATGGAAAGGATATAAGAAGGAGTGTTGGGAGGAACACAAAAACAGTGGTAGTGGCAACAGAGGGCCCCCTGGTAGATAGATAGATAGAGCAAGTAAATGAAGATAACATACAAATACTATACATTATATAGTCAAGATAATACGTACTCACTACTCATACACATACTCATTATGTATGGATAGATTGCATAGATTGATGGATAGTGTAGTTGTGAAACTTGGGACCTTCCTATAATGTAGTTCCATACACTTGATATGACCAAATATTTGGGCTTTGGGATATTTAATTACTTTAATTGGTTTAAAAAACAAGCAATTAAGAAGTTGGAATATAATAGCAATGTGGTCATGTGGAGAGAAAGGGTGCGACAAAGAGTCTTTATTGATATTGACGAATTAAAACTGGATGGTTTTTGTTGACGTATAATGAACTTTTGGAGTTTAGTTTTTCTAAAATATGTGAAAAAATGTGAAAAGGATATAGTTGAAGGAAAACGTACGGAAAAGTAAAACTGTGTTTTCATATATCAAATCTTTTCGGCTTTAGAAAGATTTGGCGTATTAAATGAAAAAAAGGATTTCTTCGTCCATTTTTCTAGTGTTCTCTTACTCGAATTAATTTCTACATTAAGGAGAATAAGATTTGGCGTATTAAAGAAAAAAGGATTTGTTCGTCCATTTTCCTAGTGTTCTCTTACTCGAATTAATTTCTAAATTGAGGAGAATAAGTACATCACTTTTCCTTCTCTTCTTTTCCCTTCAAATCCTATTATTCAAATGAATTGTTAAGCAAATCACAATATGTTTTAAACTCAAAATTTGAAACAATCATTTGATTCTCATTGACTTATTTCATAGGAATATCTAATGTCTTTATTGAAGATATTCCATTACATTTAATTTTAAAGTAGCAAGTTGTACAAAACAGGAATATCCGATCCTCGTTTCAATAAATTTAAATTCCTTCCATTTTATAAAAAAAAAAAAAAAACATTTATAATCTTGCAAGACACCCCAAAAAAAAAAAAAAAGTAAATAAAGTCAAAATTATACAAAAGACTCTCTATTTTAATTTGTTCTACTTAGATTTTGTGCACTTTACAACGCGCATGTTTTACCAATTATATCTTTAATTGCATACTAAAATAAATTAAGAAAATTTAGTACATGAAAAATATACATTGAAATAATTCTAACAAGATTATAAGTGATAATTGTAGATGTCTAATTGAACCCAATGAATAGTAAGGATCTGTTCTGATTGACTGAACTGAACTTATTGGAACGAAACTCAAGTGGAAATGAACTAAATATTTTATATGAGAAGGAAATTAAGATCGAACTGAATTGAAACGAAAATAATCAGAAAAGAACAGGTCTTAAGTGTGTAAAAAAAAAAAAAGATAATATACAGCTCCACAACTCAGTTAGATTGGGTGTAAAACATGATTGAATCAAATCAACATAAAAGGAACCAAATTGGCGGCCCTAACACAAATCATACAAACTTTACAAGCATACTGAGATAGATTCTGCAACTTAACATTTTGTATTTTATAACAACATTCTCATATAATAAAGCAGACAATATTTTCATTAATTAATTTAATTAAATTTAATAAATTAAAACTTTATTTCCTTTTCTCCACATACACAAGGTGTAGAATCTCCGTTTGTCGGTGCTGCATGTGACAAGATTTACGTATATCAATTTAATTTTATTCTATCAAAATCTTAACAGCCGGCTTCATCTTTTGGAAGTTTATACCTTAATTATTAAGCAATTATATTATTCAAACCCGCGTATTATATACAACTGGTATCAATTATCATGGTATGCTATTTACGTGTGACGTAATATAAGGATAATTTATACTTTTTCATAATAATAATATACCAATATATTATGTGAACTGCATGTATTAATTGGTTAAAGTATTGATCTGAATTCGGTTATATTTAAGGGTCAGTTCTGATTTACTGAACTGAATATTTTATGAGAGAAGGAAATTAGAAACTGAATTAAAAATAAGCCGAAAAGAACATACCCTCCTAAGTTATGAGACAATGAGACTAGTACTTATATCATAGAGCTTCATATTGAAAATATTAAGAAGTGAGACAGAATCATGTTTATCCACTTATTGTATACTCCGTATCAATTATAGAATTACAGAGTATTTAGGATATGAATGAACTTGAACCCCGGTCTACAAAATAAAAATAAAAAAGATTATTTTTATTCATTAGCACTCTTTTTACAAAATAAAAATAAAAAAGGTTATTCCATGCTGTATAGTTGAACGAATCTTAAAGTTATATTCGTAATCATAAGTAAAAGTCATAGGTTTTAAATTTGACTGTTCTAAATTACAGAATAGAAGGTAAATAAAAGTCAAAGACTCAAAGTTTGTACATATTGCCTAGTAATAATTTAATTTACTTGAATGTTACAGTACATAATACAGTTGGCATGTCGAATATTAATCTAGTTAGAATGTCAAATTTATAATTAAGACGTGGAGAGGATTATTGAAGGTAATGAGGCCACCATGAACAGGAGAGAGAAAACGCCATATACATGTTGACAACATGGTAATCAACTAAGCCATGACCAAGCTACTACCTACATGCTAGTGACTTGCCTCACCCCCCATAATTAACGATAAGCCATTATTAACTAATAGACTTTTTAAAATTAATTATTCAATAATTTACGTACTTTTTGTATCGTTCAACTCACTAATGAGCATTTTATATCGCGAAAGTATGTATATGAGAAGATTTTACCATTTCAAAGTCGTGGTAAACATGACATCTTAGTACGAATTTTCAAAAAACAGTCGTTATATAAGGTTCAACTGTTCATCATGGTAGTATTAAGGCATAAAAAAATATTCAATGAAGGTGACACGCTAATCACACAATTTCTGGTAGTCATTCTGTTGTTAATTACTTCCTCCGTCCCAAAAAGAACGACCCATTTGGCCAAAACTTTGTCCAAAAAAGAATGATCCATTTGCATTAAAACACCACAAATTTGTAACAATATTTGTGCAAAATTAGCTTCCCCATATAAAAATTTCATTTTTCATGTTATTTTATTACTTTCTCTCTCTATTTTTTTACAAACCCCATGTAAATTTATCTTTCCAATATACTTTTACTTCTTTTTACTTAACTTCCTTAATACTCGCGTAATCAACCCAAATGAGTCGTTCTTTTTGGGACGGAGGGAGTAGTTCCTTTGAAAATTGACAAATTTATATAGGTTTATTCACTTATTGACAAACAATAAAAGTAAAGATTTCAAGGTTCTCAATGAGTTAAATTTACACAAACTTAGTGTGTGTGTGTGTTTTTTTTTTGGGTGGGAAATTGTGAATTTGACCCTAGAATTTCATGTCATGTTAATTTTTTTTTTCTTTTTTAAACAACAATGAGACATTTGCATCAGCAATGAAGGCAATGGAAGAACTGTTTAGCCCATTAGAGCTTTGATAAGCCCAAAAGGCCGGAAGTCGTAACGGGCCTTTCCAATAGCCCAACATGGTACCAAATGCACAGTCTCAGTATATCATTGCTAATGGGAACACTGAGGCTCCAGTCTCCGCCTACAATATCTGTCCTTGGTGAGATCTCCAAGGTTGCCATCTTTGGCGTTCTTCTCTTCCCCCGTTCACATCACGGTCAATGAATTGGTTGAGTTCAAATCGGAGTGGGATGATAGGGACATATAACCGCGGTAAGTGTGCAGGTACTGATAGTATGGACATAAGTCACTTAACCAACACTTGTGAAGACAAAACATTTTAAATTATGAAAAACAATGAGTGGGCCAAGGCATGAATGAGCCCAAAGACGTTCCACAAGCATAAAGTTAGCTCTTTTTGGTAATTAGGGGTAATATAATGTCGTTTGAAATCATATACAACCATTTGTTAATTACATTAAGGCACGTGGTGATCTTGAATTAATGAAGGGTGGTGGGTATGTTAGAGGTTAAATCAACAGTTTTAAAGATAGATGGTTCCTATTGCCCAAACGGCCTCTCGAGGTTTCATGGGGTCCATAGTAAACAGCAAAACGTCCCGACCTTTCGTCTAGAAGTAAAGGCTATAACCCATACTTTACGACTAATTTCAAAAAAAAAAAAAAAATAAGTACCTTATGTGGCCTTGAAGTCATATAATTTGATTTGGAACCATACCAGTCTCACAAACAAGTTTATAAAGTCCGAAGAAAGAATTTGGTTCAATTATTTGGCTATTTTGAATTCTAATTACATTGGTAGTCAAGCACTATAAAGATGATTCCATTCACAAATAATCTAATATGACGTCCAAAGATTAAAATATCAGAATCCTTCTTTGGGTTACCAAACCCTAACTCACCCATTCATTACTTACCAAGTTACAATACCACTATATTGTTTATGCATGCATAACATGAGTTGTTTCTATTATACTATAATCCTCATTGCTGATTTTGGCTGTTTGTTGACGATTGTTCATAATGAAGCTTTATTTGAAGGAAAAGTGCACGGTTCAACACCTATTAATTCATTCTTTTACATCAAACTAAAAAACCTCCATATTAATATATACACCACGTAAACTATAACAGCATTGTAGCATAATCACAAAGCAATAGGTGACTTTTACTTTTAATTCTTCCCTATTCCAAAATTCCTTTCAAATACAATTTTTTTCATACAAAAAAGACTACACAGATTTAAGACTACAAATTCTGTACACAGATAACCACTCTTGCACCAAGAAATTAGTGTTAACAAGTCAAGTGATAGCTAGGATGTTATCAAATTTCGGCTTAGAAAAAAATACTAAATTCTGGCTTAGAAAAAATACTGCCAGATAAGAATGAATTTGAACCTTTTTCGTATGGCTATGGTCATAGGCTCCTAGTGGTCTTGAAAAGAATCATGTATGCTTGTAGCCATTCCATTATTACCAAAGTGAACCTACTTGAACACTCGAAAGAAAGCAAGACCAACAGCAACAGTGGAGGCAAGGGTACCAATGCAGAATCTGATCAACTCTACCTTTCCAGCTTCCAGTTGAGCTTTCAGCGCATTAATTTCCTGGAGGCCAGGGTTTATGAATCAATCATTTAATCCAAAGTTAACCTCAAAATTGAAGCCACAACTCAACTCAACTCAAGATGCAATGTAAATTTACACCAATCAATTCTCTTGTCAAATATTGAATTGAAACGTCAATATGCAATCAGCCTTGCAAAATACAAAATGCAAAACTTCAAACTGAAGCTCTAAAATTAATGAGGGCATAATTACTCACTCGATCGAGTTTATTGGTAAGGTTGTTGTTTTCTGCCTTCTGATTAGCAAGTTCATCACGTATGCGCCTGAATGCATATTAACTATAAGCTCAGAGTAAACCAAGGAAGATTCACGAGACAAAATATCACCAGAAAAACTGCTAGTTCAAGTAAATAAAGTGTTTTCAGTGCTCACCCTTTTTCAAGATTTAAATCCAAACGCTGTCCAGCTGTTACCTTGTCAACTTCATACCTAATCCAAATATCAATTAAATTCTAGGCCAAGGACTAAATCCAGATATCCAGTTTAGGTAAACAAGAAATAAGAACTCACCTCAGCTCACTACGCAGCTTTTCAATATCATTCTGAAGTTTCTCATTTTCTCTTTGTAACAAGGAAAAATGATGGTCCTGCAAACGATAAAAAGTAGTTCAAAGTAAGGAGTATTGCATTTTTGGTCTCTCTAAACAAGGAAAATAATGTCCCTGCTAATAATCGAACCACAGTTGTTGATAGGAGATAAGTGCCTTATGTAATTGTTATGAAGATATGTACTTAGAATTTTATCTACACCCCCATGCAGTGCCTTAGTCAATCATGTTTCAAAAGTTTCCCTTCATTTGTCAATCGTACAAAGCCACAGTTAAGTTTTATGGCCAAATGTTGGACAAAATTTTGATAGCTAATTTCAATGATTTTGACAAACATAAATCTATCTATGCTATTAGAAAAACTCTGTAAATGTTGGACAAGTTCATGGTCAAAGTTAGTATATTTCACCCATCAAAGTCACAAGTAAATCCGAAGTAATATTTGGAAAAATAGTAATACTATAAGTTATAAATCAGTCACTTACATCCATCTGAAAGCCACTAGCCCAGCAATATTTTGTCTAAGGCATACAGGATAGTTGTTGCCGTTTATTCAGCTGCATACAATTATACTAGCCTATGACAAAGTGTATGCAGCTGAATATATACCTAGCTTAAGAACTAACGTTGTTTGGGTAACAAACTATATCAAGTAGTGAAAAACTGTATTAAAAAAAAAAAACAAAAACAATTCACAATTCACAAATATAAAGTGTACAACACATCAGGTTTTTTATTTTTTTAACAAAAAACCTCTCCAGTCCATTGTGTTTTCGATGTTGACTTTTCACAACTCACCAATAGAGACAATTAGTTATATACATACACAGTCATTAACTAATTAGAAATTTTCATTAAACATCCCAAAACAAAAAAAAATGGACAGAAGGAGGGAGTTGATAACAATGATCTGTTCATCTCATCAATAAAAACGCAGAGAGTCTTTTTGCTCTCAAACAGATACAATTAGTGTAATCAACATTCATGTACTTTGGCAACATCTCTCTGATAACTAATAGAGAGGCTTTAAATATCATATTAAAAGCTCTTGCAGTATAATTAATCATACTATATGTTATCAGACTTGTCACTCTCTATGCAGAAAAGATGGCATTTATATTTTCAATATTTACACTCCAAGATCAATGACCCTTCAATGATGCCACACTTTTCACCTTATCAGAAACATAGTGCAGCGAAGAAACAGCTTCACCCAGCTAAGTAGGCAAAGAAGTGCAATAAAACTGAGATGTAAGGAGGAGAGTATTCAACTGGCACTGTTTGGAAGTTGGGATGAATGTTATAAGCTTGAGGGTGTGACAAATAATACGAACTTTGTATGAAATTGATAGTCTCACTTATAACTCTATAAGCCTTGAGATAACTAAAATCAAACAAAAAACAAGTTAAAGTTTCAACCTGATGGTGACTGCTAGTTAATAATTCAGCTCAAATTCACTATCTTGCCTTACACTCCCAAATTTTCCAAAATTATATCAATATCAACCTTGATAACTATATGTAAAGGGGCTTCTTAGGCAGAAAGGGGAGTTAAAAGTGCAAAAATCCTATTGACAATAGATAACAAAGAAAATGTTTTCTCTGAAACGCAACAATATGATTTTTACAATAAGAATAACAAGCTACTTCTAATCTAGAATTTTAAACAACCGTGGTTAAGGGATATTTCTAATGAACATATCGATACAGCACAAGTATCATCTGCCATAAGAAGGTCCACAATCTCCATGCAAGGAACATCTTTTCCCTGCACTGTCCCTTTTTCTAACTCACATGACACTATTTTGATGAGTCAGCTTAGCTTTCTTATCAATAGAATAATTTACTTTTCCTCAGTTACAGAGAGTATTCAGGGATGTAAAAAGGTGTAAGACAAGTGACTGTCGTTTTTTATGAAGAACTCTACCAGTTTTATTTTGCTTTCTATAATAACCATGAAAAGCTCCAGGTACTATATAGGATGAGAGTCGTATTGTAGTCTGGTCCATATGCTTTATTCAAGTTATTGAGAAGTAGAATTACAAGGAGGAGGTGAGGTTTAGCTGGACAGCATAAAGAAGAATGACAATAGAGGAGTTGGAATGAAAAAAAAAAAAAATAATAAGCTTGGTTTTAAAAAGCGCGCCTCGGGCGTGCCTAGGCGTGCCTCGCTCCCAGGCTCTGGGAAACGGGCTATAGCTAGGCGAGGATCAGTCAACTACGGAAGATGTGCGCCTCGTGCGCGTTAAAGCACCTTTGGCAAGTCGCACCTTTGCGCCTCAAGCAAAATAACTAAGATTTAAGTTATAAATTGAAGAATGATGGACATTTTTTCAAATTTAGACTACCTTAGCTTTACATATATCATTATTTAATTTATTATGAATCTTATTAATTGGTATTAAGTAAAATCAAAGTAAAAAATAATTTGAAATAAATATCTAAATACATGCGCCTTGCATACAAAAGGCGCGCGACTTCGCCTTGCGCCTAGGCTGCAAGGACCATTTGCGCCTTGTTGCGCCTTGCGCCTTTTAAAACTAAGATACTAAGGCTTCAGTTCCTATTATCTGAAAGTATAAGCCTTATCCAGGCATTCCAACTTTTCAGACAGAAAGGGTAAATTCATCTGTGAGTTCTCACCAATGGTAAGGTAACACCAATACAAGTGATGAATCCGAAGAAGCAAGAGCAAATGTTCATCCTTACATTATATGACATTGCAAAGTTCGATGCACTATATCTAAAAACTATGGAGTATATTCTCCATGTTCCAAGCTAAAAGTCTATATTCAAAAGACCCTTTGTATGTTAAGTGAATTGTCTGCTTGAACAATTAAAATTTAAAAACCCTACCCTAATTGACGATGTCACATAAAAAAGTTTTTTTTTAAAAAATGCCAAAGGAGAAAGAGAAAAAAAAAAGGCAATGACTAGTTGATAAAAAGACTTCAGATAAAACAATTCAGGGGGAACAAGACACACCTATGGGCTACGGAGTATACTGTTAACAAAATCAAATTGCTCTCCATGAGTATATTCAATTGCTCAAACATGAGAATCTTTCAGACTGTAGTTCTAGAATTGCTACACTAACATATATTTGGATCAATTCGACACATATTCAACTGAATCAAGTCATCCAACCAAATAGAAATCAATCCATATTCATGCAGTAAATATCATGGAATTTCTCCATTACAAAGCACTTCACATAAATGGTAAATGAACATAGAGCTTCTTATTTACATAGTAAAGTATCACTTTATATAACATTTCATGCTTAATATTCAATATATTTTGCAAGGCAAAAAAGTATAGAGTACTAATAGCTTGTTTCTATACCTGAGAGGTTTTTACTTCACCTTTGAATCTGGAAATGTTTGAATCCTGAAGCATTTCCGTCTACACCACATTCAGACAACAAAAGATCAATAAGTTCGATAGGAAGCATACGGAAACTTTAATACTACTCGAATACTCGTATATAACAAAGCCTGAAGATATCGAAAAAACAAAACAAACAATAATTATACCTTTTCCATTTCCGACTTAGAAACAAAGGATTGTGACATATTTTCCATGCTGTCACCCACAACCTGAATAATTGCATTTGTTATTGCCTCAGCCTGCTTCTGCGGAACACCTTGTGCCTCCAAATTCCTCACCTGTATTCATCAACAATAAATCTACATACTCAAACCTAAAAACTCGATAGATTTGCAATGCTCAAAATCAGCCAAATTAATAGTACATGTTTTAGCAGTTAAATCGCAAACAGGCAAAAACAGCATAACATTGCAATGTACTTATTTTTACTACAAAATCAAACAAAATCAGCCATAAAAAGAACTTCAATTCTACTAGTAAATTTGAATCTAAAACTACAAAATGAAACTAAAATATGAGTATAACACAATAATTTCAATGCGAATAATTAAATATTGATTAACAAATGAACACATAGAAAATATGCACGAAATCGGATGAAATGTGGAGAGAAATTAAGTACCAAAGCTAAAGTATCAACAAGTAATCCACGCCGATTATTATTAGGAGCTTGAAGCTGAGAGAATTGCCGAAAATTATGATTGAATCGGCTAAATTGCGGATCGACAGCAGCAAAACCTCTCGAATTAGCGAAAAACCTAGTCGAATTTACACCGAATTGAATCGCGCGCTTAGCAGCTGCCATTGAAGAATCAGATGAATTTTGGTAAAATTTATGAATTTCGAAGAATTTAACAAGTAGAAATTGCAGGAAATTTAAGCGAGGAATTCCACCATTTTTCTGGAAAAATGAAGAAGAAAGTGGCGAGAGACGAAGGGAGAAAAAAGGAGGAGAGAGAAATGGAGGAGGAAAAAGGGGCGGCCTATAAAATGGGAAGTTTTTCAGGGAAGATATTCATCGAGTCGTATTGGCGTGTATAGTACTTCCGACCCCGGGATGCTATGCTTCCGTGTTCATGTAGTCAAACTGTAAAACGACATCCATTTCATTAGTTGTAATTGTGTAATTACGTCTTCTCACAACACCGTGCCTTAATTAAACTTGGATAAGAATATACGTGGTAAGAAAAATTATAAAGTACGAAGTACTATTTTAAGAAGATCAATATCTTGACAGATTGATGAAATATGTCTATTGAGACTTGAAACAACATAATTTATTGTTTTATTTGATTTCTCAAAATCATATTGAGATAAGAAGGAATTGATTAGTTGAATTTGTATTTTTTTTATAATAATATTATCCATTAATATATGAAGTTATAAATGGTAATTATGATGGAGAGAATTCATATTTTTTCTCCTAGATAAACTTGATCCAGCCATATTTTCATCATTACCTACAAAAAGAGTATGGGTATTTTAGGAATTTTATCGAATAAGTCAAATTGAGTATGACGAATGTTTGTGGATGTTGGGTGACCAGGACTTAACCCTGGGTTTATTACCGGAAGAAAGAAAGTAAAAGGTAAAGTAAGTTGGAGAGAGAAATTAAAGTCCCGACTTGGAGAAAAAAGGTTAAAATTGGACGAACACGAAGAACGCTAACCACGAGAAGAAGATTAAGTAGTTGAAGTGAAGCAACAATTGGATGAACACAAAGAACCCTAACGTTGGTGGGCACATATGCAAATCGTAAATGTTTGGTTACTAAATTTGTGAGTTTCATCTCTTTAATTTTCATTTGATCTTTTTAAAACCATGATTCACTAATTTGATTTGATATAATGATATTAATCAAGTGTGTAATTTGTACATATCGGTTGAGTAAACTAGTGAGAGTGCCAAACGCTGCTCCAATATGGCTACAACTATTTACAAGAATAGTTCTAACTCCTAAGAATAATTGGATCAGTGCTTTAGCTAATCTCATGTGATATGTATCATACAAAATTACTTATAAACAATATTAACGGAAAAGTTTTTGTTACAACACTTGTTAGTTTTACATGGTACATAGTATGAATTCAAATTGAAATTTGACCAATGATCTCGTACATAATATTCAATCTTATGTACACATTATTCCACCACATCAACTTCGGTCAATATAAAATAAATAATACTCGGTAATAATATAAAAGTCAAAGCTACTAACCTTGTATACTTGTTAAAAAAAAAAAAACAGTAAAAATAAAAAAAATCCAGACTAGGTGTAAGAAAAAAAAAAAAAAAAAACTGATCGTTGATATTATTTAGATCTGACGGTTAATATTACTTATTTCATTAATCTTCCTTTTCTTTTTTTCCCCCTTCGGAGCTTCTTACTTATACAGTTATACGCTGCACCCCCTCTTTCTCTCTCCTCCATTGAAGCGCACTCTGAGTTCTCCATTGAAGCGGCTTCTCAGCTTTCTTTCCTCCATTGAACCAGTTTCCGAGGTAAGTTTGTTTCAACTTTCTTTTTTAATCATCTTATCAATTTCAAATTCTAGGGTTTAATTTCGCATTATCGTTAATCTAATTGTCAGTATTGTTAATTTAGGGTTCCTCTAACGTGGATTCTTTCTTCAATTACTGAAATTTTGATTGCAGTTACTGAACCTATGAATGCTTATACTGTTTTGTGCAATTTACGTTGATATTCTTAAGCCAGGATAATTTTACGTGATTTTTCGAGACTAATTTGATAATTGAGTCAAATTTGGTTTTAAATGTGTTGCATTATTCAAACCTAATCAGCCGAGCTTGGTTTTTGAGGTTCTTCGAGCTTCGATCTCTAGTTGAGCATGTCTAAAGCCAAGTCGAGCCTACTCTTGTTCAGGTTCGGCTTGAAGGTTTAGCAACTATAATGGAAACCTCTTACTTTCTTAGTGTTGGGCCTGCTCCTTGGCATCGGCTCCGGCTAGTCCGGATACCCAAACTCGGAACATGGTTAAGCTGTCCCAAACATTCCTTGTTTCCTGAAACATTAATCACTTTACTATGATGGTAGTACTTGTTGATCTCAGCTACTCGTTCTGTTCAAACAAAGGATAAAAAATACTGAAATGGGGCGAAATCAATTGTTTGATCATTATAAAACATAGTGAATTCTCTGAATAGTTTGCTTATGCTGGAATCATATATGTAAAGGCCTATTTGTTTCAGGGAAACACTGTAATTAATGAATTTTTATACTTTTTTCCACTAATTTTTTTGGCATGGGGGACTGAGGGAGATATGTGAAGTGATTATTTTAGTGTCAAAATACTTGGGCAGCGCTATCAGTTTCATGCTACTCTTAACATTAATAGTATTTTTCTTTCTTTTTTTTTTTAAAAAAAAAGGTTTTTAGTATATTACTGGTATATATTGGGAACCAAGGGCTTTTCAGCTGAATGTTTAAGGTCACCATGATAATGAAGGGTAAATATGAAGGAATAAATGGGTCGAATTAATAGTTAATTAATCATCAAAATGACAGAATCCTTCTATTTTTTGATGGAAAGTTAATACTTGTCCTATCTTTGCAGGACACCAATTATTGAGAGTGGACTCTTTGAAATTCTCACCCTTTTTTGGAGTATAAATGGCTTCTTTATTCAAGGTAAGACCCCCCCCCCCTACCCCTTTTATTGTACTGTTTGTTGTAGCTGCCTATCACATGTAGATATCTTAAGCTTATTGTAAAATCTTAGGCATTCATGTAATATTGAGCTTTTGATTGTTGGTTTGTGATTGAAAGAATTGGTATTCTTTGTGAAACCCAAAATTTTGACTTGATCCTGTTATCACGGGTCAAAGCTCAGCTCTATTAGATGATTGAGGCATCCCTCAGCTCTAATTGTCTAATTGAAATGCTGCCCACTTTTGCTGTTCTAGATTCCCATAATGAACGTCCTGTACTCCTGCCAGAGTAGTGCATGTATTGGTTAGTGTGTAATGTTTTCTTGACATATCTTTATTACTGTATTGTAATTAGGATTTAAATAAGCTCTCGGCGTACCGAGATAGAAGGTTTCCTGGATCTCAAGAAGAATTTGAGGAAGCACTCAAGAACTCAACGACTGTCTATATTGGAAACATGTCTTTCTATACAACAGAAGAGCAAGTTTATGAGCTATTTTCTCGGGTTGGAGAGATTAAAAAGATGATTATGGGTTTGGATAAGAATTCGAAAACTCCTTGTGGTTTTTGTTTTGTATTGTAAGGGCCACTTCTCTTCATATATATTAGTCTGAGGTGTAGGGAATTTGCAGTTAATTATACAGAGCACATTATTTTTTCAAGTATGCTATGCAAAATGTGGAAGCCCTTCTTTATTTAATCATCTGTTTCCATGGCATACTTTAAAAACTTGATGATGTGTATTTCAAAAAATTGATAAATGATTTTATGATACATGATTTGGTTATACCTTATATGATTGGTATTTTCTTATCAAGCTACTTTTTCATTCCAGTTTAAAGCTAATCTTACATTATGAACAAAGAATATATTTTTAAAATTATTTTATTAATTATTATTATTTTGTTCCACCCTAGCTTTTATAGTTTCAAAATTTCACCCTCTTTTTTCAGATTGTACTCAACAAAAACGAAGTTATGGTGTACAATAATTTATTTATTTGGTATAAAAACTTTCTTTTGGTTATTTGATAACTACGCATCAACGAACTTGACAATTGTTTTGACTTGTGGCAAAATATGTGATAAAATTTTCTGTACATCTTATTACAACATCAAAATATATTTGACAGATATTACTCCCGAGAAGATACTGAAGATGCTGTGAAGTATATAAGTGGTACAATTCTTGATGATCGCCCTATTCGTGTGGACTTTGACTGGGGTTTTCAAGAGGGCAGGCAATGGGGACGTGGTCGAAGTGGTGGTCAGGTCTGTTTGTGATGTTGTGTCTCATTTTCTCTCTCTTTTTTTGTTAGTTTTTTTTGAGGTTAGATATCTCCTTGTTTAGCTCTTACCTTTCTGCTTATTCTTTCACTGCCCATTTTTCCAGGTGCGGGATGAATATCGTACTGACTATGATCCTGATATCCTTTTTCTATTTAAGTCAAAAGCTCAGTTAATATTATCGGTGTCGTGATTATTTCCCTCTTTGAAGGTTGTTTGGTTTATGTTATTCCTTTGATAGTGTGCTGTCATGTCATATCTCATATATGCTTTACTTCAATAGGATTAGGGTTCTGCTGTATCTTAGCAGGACCGGAGTCAGGCCTCTTGATTATATGCTCACTTTTTGTTCATTTTTTTATTGCTTTCATGCCCGTAGATATGGTTTTTTAATCAGAGGAAGATCAGCTTGTACAGTGCTTATACATCACAACATCATACCAAACCCATTGCCTTTTTCTCGTCTGCCATTACTGTTGGGATTCTTGGGACTGAATGTTTAAGTGCTGGTTAATTTATATGTTTTACTAACCTTGCTAACTGGTGTACCATTCTTGTAATTGCTCATCATTCAATCAGTTACCTTAACTCATCGTACGTAGGGGTGGTTATGGAAAATTGGTCCAGAGAGAGCTTGAGGTGCAGAGGACACTTGTGGATTATGGTGCTGGAGCTCTGGGAGCTTTTCAGCCTGTTATGCCATCTAACAACTGTAAGTTCTTATATTATATCTTGGTAATTTTTGGCGCATCATGGCAAACCAAAGAACTCAAATGTAGGCTATAAATTGCACTAATAGTTACTTCGTAATTAGTATTTCAAATTCGTGTTTGTTAAAATTCACTAATACTTACCTCCTTGGCAAGTATAAATTGAAACAGTGTATAGTCGACTTACTTTTTACAGTAGTTATCTTTTCAACTAATTACTTCAGATTGTTTACATTGAAAATGATGACAAATATTAATGCAGATGGTAGAAATGACAGAAGTCATGGTCATGGAGGCTCCTACCGGCATGGCAGAGGTAAGTACTACGCGACTTCATATTTTTCTTTCACTGTGTCCTATTTGGTTAGTGAGTCAATTTTTGCTTTCTCTTAAATCTAAAATGATTTGTTTTTTGGACTAAAAGATTTCCAACGGAAGCGACACCGTGAGGATGATCGTCATCCTGTTGACGTGCCAAAGAGAAGTGAGCATGAACCACGTAGGAACGTCGACCATGAATCTAGACCGGTGGGTTTTATGTCTCTTTTAAACCTTGGTTGTTATTCAGTTGTTTCGTCGATGGCTTTACCTCTTAGAGGTAGAAGCCTGGCAGGTGTGAACCACCAGCTATGTTTTGGCATTTTTGAGGAGGGCTGCTGCTAATTAATTTGCAAATTATGCAGGAGAAAAATCCACGTTTCCGTGAAAGTGGAGACTCCGATGAAGATGAAGATGAAGACCGGAAGCGTCGTACTTAGGCAAACTAGGTAATAGCTGAAAGCATTGTTGATGACGATTCAAGCTCAAGAGTGTTTAGATTGCAATTTAACTGTAACTTCTGTTATTTTGATAGTTTATCTTTTAAATGTTGTACATCGGTTTAGGTTTGAAGATACCAAAAATGTGTTCATGCAGCCTCTGAGTGTTGAAAGGTGCAACACTCTTGATATGAGCATGTGAATTTTTTCATTGCAAAATCTTATGTCTCAATGCTGTTATTGAATTTATTTATGTTATGGACTAAGAAGAAAGTTCGTTATGAAGTTGCTATCTGGACGAAGGAATTAGTAATATCCTTGGATACCTCTACTGATCGTCCAGAAACGGATTCATAATTTTGGCATATTTTGTCTGGCTGGCCTAAAAAATAAACAGGGGGTATTCAGATTAACTCGAATTAGTACTGGGATGCAGGTTTTTGTCCTACCGGATCTTGATTTTGAGTGAGCAACTGTCATGCATGTCGTGAATTATTCACAATATATGTTACTTTCAACATCTATACAAGGATAAAGATATTTCCTCTGTTTTTTTAGTTAGCATGTTTTTTACTATCTTTTTGTGAGGCAAGGTTTGAATAAAAGGAAATACATTTAATTAAGATTATTTTCATACAAAGTGTATATTGTAAAGAATAATCGATTATACTGTAGAATCCATTTGAAAGTCAAACATGTTAAAGTTTCTTAAGAGTATATCATTTTTTTGTCCATTTGAGTCTTATTTCACTTTTGGTATATGTACCCTTTTATTTTACTCTCATCAATAACGGGGTTCACTATTTTATTATATTACAATCTTCCCTGAACCAAAATAAATAAAATGTAATCGGTGCATATTCAATCCATCAGAAGTAGCTGAGCACTGCCATTAACAATTTATGTTTACACTAATCAAGCAGAGTTCTCGAATCCAAAGGGGGTGAAGTAACAAGAGTATAAGGCCGAGCAATTTAATCGCTCCAACAGTCCAACAAGATAGAACGTGCCTTATATTTAACACAAAAGTTGTTTCAGTAATTAAATGACCAGTGAACTACTTCCTCCACTCTCCTAAAATTCCTTATTAAAGTATTGTTAAATTTCTGGTTGGGTGAAATTGTTGAAATAGTAAGTTCAATCAGATAAGTATGTTCAGAGCTAGGTTGTGGTATATCATACTTCCTCTGTTTCTATTTAGTTAAAGCAAGTGAGGTAACTTGTAAATGCAAGGTAAAAAAGTTACCCCAACTAAAGACGTGTCAACTAAAAAAAACTTCCTAAAAAGGAATCGTGTCAACTAAAAAGAAACGAAAGTAGTATTTAGTTACGGTAAAAGGTAAATCAAAAGAGAAAAAAAAAATTAGGTCAATCTTAGAGGCACAAAGGGGGCACAAATGAAGTAGATGAGAAAAAGTGGGAAATTATGAAGCGTCAATGATACTTTAATGATTTTGACTGGTATTTTAAGCTTTTAACATCTACCCAATAGCTCGCATTAACCAAATCTGAACAAAATCTAATACCCAAGAACCATATTTTTTTACTGTTAACTGTAAGTCACCCTACAAAATCCACTATTACACTGGTCAGAGAACTGACAATACCAACAGAGAGGAAAATTAGGGTGCTGCTGATAATAATTATTTAAGCATGTGACATACAAGTATCTATAAAATTAATGAGTTGCCACCCCTCCTCCAAGGACGAAAATTACTGTACATGAGAAGATACTACCTAGTATCTACTACTGAAAATTCAAGAGTGCATAAAATCACATGACGAACCCTTCCTGCAATGGCCGTTTTCATGGAATCTGCAGACTCCTCTTTGTCCTCCACTACCAAATGATGATTGCCTGTTCCATTGAGCCCCTCCGTCATTGCGGTTCTGATCACCTCCCCATGCACCTGTGTTCCCAGGTGCAGCAACCCAAACCATGTTACTGTTTCCGGCAGAGGGACTGGGTCCTGTACCCGTCCAACCCACAGTTGGCTGCGCAGCTACCATAGCTGGTGCTCCTGGAGAAGGGCTTGTCAATTGTTGGCCCATAGCAACAGCTGGTTGTCCAGCCCATCCTATGTTTTGGTTACCTGGCTGTTGCTGTTGCGCGCCCCATGGTATGTTGGCCTGAGTAGGTCTCCAAGCATTATTCGCAGGCATAGCAGGAAAGTTTGCGGCAATATTTCCTTGTCCTGGAGGATATCCAGCAGCATAAGGTGGAGGCTGGTTATTTACAGCAGCACCAGTCCACTGACTATACGAGACTTGTGCGGGCAAAGCATTTTGATTATTGGATGTCGTCACATTAGCATTCACCATTTCTGGTCTTGCAACATAACCAGTTCCCCAATTGTGAGTATAGACAGGAGGATTTTGTCCAGTGCCTTGTTGAACCATGTTGGAGAAGCCCTGAACAGCACCTAAAGCATTGGGTCCCACATTCGTTTGGTTCATTGTGGTATCAGAAGGGACAAATGGCTGATTTGCTGCTGCATGTAGGCCTGTTTGTGATGATATTTGTTGGGCATTTACCATACCTGTATTGGAGACAAACTGAACAGGAGCATGTTGAACTGTTCCTATAGGTGCTGCCACATTTTCTGGCTTGTTCCCAGCTACTTCGCCCTTAGATTGCTGAGAAATTTTGGCCTTATCCACACTGCTTGGATTTGAAGCAGGTGATGTGGGGGTAGGAGAAGGTAATCGTTCGTTCCCTCGAAATTGATTAGTCGACTGAAAAGAACTAGAATTTTGCATTCCACTCCAGGCGGCTGGGCTTCGTCCAGGAGTTGGAGATGGGAGGTTAGAGGAATCATATCTGCTACCAGAGAGTTTGGAAGCATCTGTTATAGGCAGTGTATTCCTAATATTAGAGCTAACATCTAAATTTGATCCAACAGAGCGGGAATCCTTCTGAAACTTTCCAGCTAATGCTTCAGTTAGAAGAATAGAATCATCTTCAGTTAGTGAAGCTCTCCAAATTTTTAGTTCAGCAGGAAAGTATCCTGTGCTACTCCATTTACGAAGCTGTGTCATAGAGAATGGTCCCTGGACCTTTCCAGTTGGATCTCTGTAATGCCACATTTTTTCTTTCTCGTCAATTTGCCCATCAGTTTGTACTGCTGTTGAAGATAAAGGCAGTGTAGGTTCTGATGCAGCCGCCACAGATAAATCTGATCGCATCCCAGAATGTTCAGCTCGATTGCTCATCAACGAATCCGGAGTACTCCTTGTTTTCTCCCAACTATTTGACTTAGGTGTACCCTTGTCTATCCCATTATTCCAAGTATGCTCACTTCTCTGCGGGGAACGAGTAGCATCGTCCCTTCTGTTTGAGAAACCCTTACTGGTCAAATTTCTGCCTGGTTCCCAACTCTTGTTCGGAGGTCTTGCATTTGCACTACGTGATGAATAATGATCTCTACCCCTTCTGAAAAAACCACTTTCTCTTGGTCTCATGTTACTTGCTGCGCAAAAATACAAAATATAAATTTCAAAATAACAATTACTACAATCAAGTTGACTTAGCAGGTCATGGACATACCTTGTTTTTTATCATGTTCAATCTCATCATCAGACTCACAGCTAGGATCCATTTTTGGATCTGCATGAACTTCTGGAATTTCATTCAACCTACGTTGGCGTTCTTCTGGAGTCTTCAGAAGCTGCAATTTCTCCACACATTCTCTGAGCGTAAAGGTCAGTTAAGGACAACCAGAAAATAACGATGTCATCATACCAAACAAAAGCTTTAATAGCATACTACATGAGCAAAGCAAGACTTGAACTTTATGCATATGTCACATTATCCCAAAGCAAAACTCAATCGCACACTCTGCTTCAAAACGATGATATTGAACATTCGATAGAAACAGGACCTATTCTCCAAAGATTCTGCCAAAATTAAATGTATCCATTACACAAACCTCCAAAGGAACTGTCTCAAACATGTACTGATTTTACAATGTTAGGGAGATATCAGTCAAATGTTAAGAAGAATTTAAGCAGTAATAGCAAATGACAGATAGGGTGTTTAGTTCACAATATCATTAAATGAAATATGGGTTTAGAATAGTTTGAACCCATAACATGTGTTTGGTAGATGATTTTAAGACATTTAAATCCATACCTCAAACCCACAAGGTATGGGGTTTGGAACCTATTCATTCCAGATACTTTCAGGTATAATATAAAAGAAAAAGATATTCATTCCAGAATTGAACCAAGCACAAGATATTAAATTTAATGTCCATAAGGCATGGTATTGAGAATCAAGTTAATCAATTCAACCTGTTTGTGACAAAATTGTGCGTTGAAAATAAGGGTCAAATACAACAGAATTGCAGAAATGCTTTGGGAATAAACATAGGCTAAAGCAGTGGATGTAAAGAACACAAGTTACATATCCAATTCAACTTAACAATAGCAGGCATGCACAATGAAGAAATACTCTCTTATATTTTTATCAGCTGCTTAATAGAAGTAATTTTGGCTGGCAGAGTGAAGAACACAAAGATAAGAATGTTAAGATGTCTATTTGGCACCACAGTGAAAAAAAAAAAAAAAAAAAAGACTAGAAACAAAGTTAAAATTAAAGGCAACACATACGACAGAAGGAGAAAGACTCAACGTGATAGGCAATTCAAAAGAGGTGTTTCAAATTTCAAAAGTAAAAACAAGATACTGATCAGATATTGGAGTTTCCCTGAGATAGGTTTCAATAGAAAAAAGAAACCATGGAACAGAATCACAAATTGAACAAGGAATCTTTATTTGGCTACAGTTCACAATGCAACAGTCAGAACTTATATTGTCTCACTCACATAAACAAAAAGAAAGGAGAGACAATATGCACAGATTCTAGTACAGCATCTTCATGATGAATATGAAAAGGAATAGGAACTTAATAGAAAAAATGGTAATTAATTTATTAATCAGAAGGTTCCATTTGTTGTCAAAACACTTTCTCCTCTATTGATTGGGCAACAGAGGGGGAGGGCAAGGGAGCAAGTAAAACCTCAAAAATGGGACTCACTCCGTCCCCAACAAATTCCCCATTTTCTTTTTTGGGTGTCCTACAAGGATGCTTTAAAGGTTTAAAAGGCATACTATCTCCCACATCATTACTTTCATTAGCTCCACTCAATCAAATTACTAAGTACAAAAACCACGTAATATGTATTTGCAGCATACATTAAGAAAGACATTTCTATCTTCTACGGTACTCAAATATTAAAAGAAAAGGAAAAACATGGCTGTAATTTCTAAGGCTCTATTGCTCC